ACCCCCATCCCGCTCGGTCCCACAGAAGGGGGGTGCCCTGAAGAAGGGAGCCATCGCCAAGACACTGCAAGCCGTCAAGATGGTGCTGTCCTACAACCCCGACCTGCTCGAGTGGGACTCCCCACACCGGACCAACCAGCAGCAGTGCTACTGCTACTGCGGGGGCCCCGGCGAGTAAGCCCCTGCCTGCCTGCCGGGAGGGTTGTCGCGTTTGGTTTTGTGGGGAAAAACATTTGCAAAGGCAGGTGGGATCAGGTTGGGGAGTTTTTCCCCCCAAGAGCGAAGTCCCCAGCTTGCAGGGCACTGCCCTGGGGCCAGCGGCTTTGCTGCCCGTGCTGCCTCTGCCATCCGGATCTCCGCTCGCTCCCAGAGGCACCATTTGCACCCACCTCTCTGGCTGCGGAAAATACAAGTTAGGGCCGGACTTTTTTTCCCTGGTTGGGGGGTTTGTGCCTGGGAGGGCGCTGGGGGCGGTGGCTGCTGCACGCTGCCCTCGCCATCACCTGCCTCCTCTCCCTCCCCAGGTGGTACCTGAAGATGCTGCAGTGCTACCGCTGCCGGCAGTGGTTCCATGAAGCTTGCACCCAGTGCCTCAGTGACCCCATGATGTTCGGAGACCGGTACGTCCCTTCCAGACTTTGCTGGGCTGGTGCTGGATGTCGGAGCTGGCTTCTCAGGAGGGACTTGTGCACGGACACGTCCCCAGCCTGTATCTTCCTGACCTGGCTGTGGCACTGATGCAGATCAGCCGCCCCCGGGGCAGGCGGGTGGCCCCATCCTGCAAAGCCCTGCTCCTCCCAGCTGTACTGTCACTATCGGCACCCGGAGCACTGTCCTCACCCCGACCCGTCCTCAGGCCCTGCAGGGCAGCGGGGATGACCCCCCCCCCCAGCGCTCTGCTCCCCGCTGTTTTCCAGGTTCTATGTGTTTTTCTGCTCCGTATGCAACCAGGGACCTGAATACATCAAACGCCTGCCCTTGAGATGGTAAGAAGCAGCCCTGGCTCCTTTGGCACGTGCTGGGGTGGCCGCGGGGCACCGGGCTGGCCGGTGCCCGGTGCTGCCCAGCCCTTGCCATGGGACCAGCCCCAGTGGTGGGTTTCAGTGACATGAGTTCACGGAGCATCTCCTGCTTATCCCAGCCCGGCCCTGAGCCGGGGCCTTTGCTTGGCCGCAGGCCCCGGGTGCGCAGCATCTTCTGCCCGGCCCTACGGGGCTGTTTCCCAGGGAAGCTGTTTCTCAATATGCCCCAAACCTACTGTTTGTCTGGGAGCCGAGGGACACATTTGCCAGAAGATAACTGCAAAAAGCAGTGGGGTGACAAGTCATCAAATTCTGTGATTAAATACAAGTTTACAAGCGGTACATCTAGTGTACCTTGATGGTCTGAAAGCACTTTTTATAAAGTGTATTAACAGTGCCAGCAGCCCTGCTGTTCCCCCTGTGCTCGGCCGTGTCAGACGTGTTACTGGTGCTAACGGGCTTCTGGGATGCGGCTGCCTTGGGGACATTGCACCGAGCAGCGCAGCAGGCTGGAAGAAGAATAGGGGAAATCCTGCAGGATATGTTGCTTGGCTTTCATTTTCAGAGACGCAACTGTAAAATCCCTCAGGATAGATTGGGTTGTTAAAATAGACAGTGTATTTTCATGTGAATAAGAGCTGTCCCGCTCCTGTACCTAACTGCAGCAAGAGCACACGGCTGGGGCTTATTAAAAAGCTGGAAAACTGGGCATTTGTCCTGGGAACGGAATGTCCTCCAGCTCCTGGGCTCGGGGGTCTTGGCGTTTGGGGTTCCCCCCGGCTGCGGGCAGCGTCTCACCCCTCCCCAAAGCTCAGGGGATGCCATCCTGGCTGTGGTGGCATCCCCTGGGACGTGTGTCCAGGCCAGGGTTGCTTCCCCCGTGGGGTGTGGGAATGGTCCCGGCTTCCAGCGAGAAGATTTTGGGAGGGTCATGCTGGGGGCTGCGCTCGAGTGGTGCTGGCAGAGCAGAGCATCGTGGTGGGTACCGTCCTGCCGGGGAGAGGGTGGGCTGCTGACCCTCTCACCCCTTTTGCTCCCGCAGGGTGGATGTTGTCCATCTCGCCCTCTACAACCTGGGTGTACAGAGCAAGAAGAAGTACTTTGACTTCGAGGAGATCTTGGCCTTCGTGAACCACCACTGGGATCCGCTGCAGCTCGGGAAGGTAAAAACGCGCGGCCAGGGCTTGGGCTGGAAAGCAGCCGTGGGGAGGGAGAGGTGCTGCTGGGAATGTAAGTCACGGCCGGCTGTCCCTGAAGCCTCGGCTCAGAGGGGCCGGATCCCCCCTCCCCCCAGAAG